GGAGGTGGCCATCTTGGTAGAAGCAGAGCTTTGCTTCCTTCTGTCAGAGCATCTAACAAAAAGAACAGTGACATAATCAAATCTCATTCCACTGCCTGCGATCTCACACTGCAGATATACAGCTAAGAGGCTGTTGGCACAGAAGTACCTAGGCACACTCACATGCCAGGAAGTCCACTGCTATTATCCAGGAGCAATTTCAGACCAAAGGCACTGTTTAAGCACATTACCCTTTCCAAATGTTCCCTAGAACATAGTATATATTCGTTTTTCAAGTTCAGTTCCACTTTAAACAAAAGCTAAACTAGGTAACGTATCCATGACGTTTTTTAATTTATGCAGGTTATGGTATAATTAGTAGTGGGTCATTTTCACACTTACGTGGACTTTCTAAGAAAGGATGAATCATTTTCAGCATTAATTTGTTGGGGATCCTGACCCACTTATTTTAGTTAATAAATAAGTACTGAAACACCTTTAAAAATTACTAAAGTCTAGTTTAATGTCTCCAACTATTACTAACTATATCATGCAATCTGACATGTTTCATTAAATCAAATTGGTGCTCTAAAAATATTTTAACAATAAATGTAATAAATCAGTGGGACCTTTAATATGGCTGGCTTACAAAACCATTTATATTACTTTTACTGGACTCGCAGCTTACACATGCAGGTTTTTGTCATAGAATAGTGTTTATCATGCAGATGGCTTAATATAATTATTTAATGTTTCTTGCAGGAGCTCTCCAGGCACACCAGGGTCCATCAGCCAGCACCAATCCAAAAACAAAACATCCTAGGACTCAACTGCTGCTTGAGAATATCCCTTTCATATTAGCAAGCACATTAAAAAGCATAATATTGGAGATTTCTTCTTAGCACAAATGACATTTTATGCTGTAAACTGCAGTATTAGGCTGCTATCATATGTGCTAATACTTTAAAAAAATGTACTCAGGATCCATATGATTCCAAAAACAGAAAAAAAGCTTGCCAAATGGAATTATGATGCAGACTACCTTGGATGTACTTAAAATGAATCTGACTTTAGGCCTTTTTACAGTAACAGTGGTGAAATGCAAGTACCTGTGTTAGTCTTTAAACCCATCCTGCCGATCTACAGATCTTATGCCCAAGGTGCACTTGAGGCCTCAGTTTCTATGCAAGTCAAGATTAAGCCCCATCCTTGCCATTCCACAGTCAATTGGCATTTGGCAATAGAATAGCAGGGAAAGAAAATTACCCATCATGGGCAGCAGATTTTGTGGTTGATTTTTGCATAGCAGAGTGCCTGCGTTTTACAACACCTTGGTGGTCTAAAGATTAGGGATGCACAGATACTTTTCGAGCCGATACTTGGCATTTTCATGAGATCTGTCAGGGTTGCAGCTGGGACCTGGCTCTGGCACTTCACCACTGTCCTGAAATCATTAGTCTGTATTGTTTTAGAAAAACTGTCACATGACAATAAACAAAAATGTATCAGTACTCGTACTTGTAAGTACTCGGCAAGTACTCGTCCTCGCAAAACTGGTATCTGTGCATCCCTTTATTTATATTTATAAAAACAAAATCGTACATTAAAACAGAGATGTACAAATCCCAGCTCTGTGTGCTCCTTACAAATGACAGCGGCCTCCTAATTTTTGAATTTGTCTCTGGTGTAGTCTTGGAGCTCAAAAGTATTGGTACATGTACTCGTACTTGTACTGAGTACTGTACTTGGTATGTGTGCAACCCTACTAAAGATATAACACGCATGCTTATTTCTGATCTATGCACCTGGGAACCAAGGGTGGCCCTTCTCCATCTCCATGAAACAGAATCACAATTTAGATTCATGCTGGCTTGTTTAAAGAGACCCTGTTGCCAGACTATTCATTTTAACAAAAACATCCAATAAGATTATATGTGCATTTAACATATTTTATGCAGGTTACTTACCTGTAAATGTCCCCTTATGTAAACATCTAAAAACCCGGAGGCTGCTGCTGGCCACCCTCATCTTGAATGTAATGTCAGCAGCCCCAGCAGACTCGGAGCTGATGCATCTCATCCAGCAGCTATCTAGAAGGTTATATTGGGAGGTGAGGGAAGAGGCAGAGCAGTTAAGCCAGCAGAGACATTAATTAGACATTACCAGAGGGGGAGAGTTTAGGATTTCATATGGTGACAGGGTCTCTTTAAAGAAAACCTTTCCTGAGGCAAATGTGGTGGCTTGCATTGCTACTTCCTGTCCTCACAATGCCAGCTGTTTGATTGTCATGTTTACTTCCAATGCTTTCAGTCACAGACCAAGAACAAGGTTGTAGATAAAGGACTTCCCTGATCTGCATATTTGTTCCATGTCACCATTTGCTTTGTGTGGTGAATGCTATTTTCACTTTTCCTTTTATAAAGGAGCCAATGTTGGGATTTTTTCCTGGCCTAAAAGTGTGCATTTGCTTTAATACCTCAAACCACAAATCGCTGAACTTCCAGATGTCATTAACTCATCCACACTCACCAATGATGTATTAGGTGTGTTTAGGACAGATCATGATGTAGTTGTCTGGATTGTCAGATGTGCTCCCACCTCCTCAGGTAACAGAAATAAAAATAAAATATATATATTTTTTCTTTCTTTCTTTGCTATGTAGAAAAACGACAGGTAAGACTTTATTTTTCTAAATATATCCCACCAATAAAATCAGTTTTCCAAAGATCTCATAAAATAATTTGATCAGTGTTAATAATACTATACAGAAAATAAATGCTTTCTGAGGCAAACGTTACCCCTTTTGCTGCCACCTATGTAACTATTATGTCTGCGGATCGCAATTATCATGTGACATACAAAATCACAGCTGCCACCATATTATTTTACAGGGTCCCTGCTTTCAAAAAATATGTAATGTTTTGGGAGTTCTCATATTCTCGTTAATTAATGACAACAGCCATCAATGCATAAGTAATGAATTTATTTTGATCAACATTTTGTACAATTGAATACATTACTAATAAATTATCTTTTAGCTATTCCAGTAGATTACAGATTTTTTTCCTCCTTTTTAAGTAAATAAGACTGAAGGTGTATGCAAAACGTTGCTCTGCAAAGTGATGCACTGACCCAAAGCCAGAAAAAGTCTTTAGAACAACATTATGTACAACAATACGGACAACAGCACAGCCTCACTTCAGAGGAAACACGTAAAAGCTTCAATGGCTCTCTATTGTCTAGAACAGCCTTTCTCAACCAGAGTTGAGCAGTGGTGATTTGATCTCTTACCTACACTGACCATCAACGCAAGAGGGCACCTCCAAATTGACCACTGATATCAGGGAACACCACAATTTTTACTGTTTGCATTATTTTTTGTTATTATTACTCATTTCATTTCTAGATTATTACTAAAATGTTACACAGACCAGGAGGCTGTAATCAAATTATTTGGTATGCCAATTATTATTAGGTATGCCTTATTTTTTATTCTTATATATAATACTTTACACTATTTAGTAAAATTTAATGCAAACTATGGGTATAATTATTTTTACAGGGGTTCCCTGAGGACTGAAAAATATTGTTTGAGCTCCTCCAGAGTAAAAAGGTTGAGAAAGTCTGAACTAGAGTCACATCCATGATGATCTGTGAACAACAAAAAGGACATAATAAAGCAAAGGAACTAAGCATTTACTGACCAGCAGGAAGACAATACAAAGCCCAGTAGGCCTGAGGCGCAGGCTATCTCTGTTTGCAGCTGGACTGCAATAAATTGTAGGACTTGCCAGAGAACATACCATTTCTAATATAACTAGCCTTCACTAATATACACAGTTACTCCTGGTGCAGAGATTCTAGAACCGTATTCTGTATCAATTATTGCATGTAAATAATGGGGAACAGCTGAAATTGTGACCAGGCATCTTGGAATTCAAAGACATTTACAAAATTCTCAAGTGCTGTGTCAGATGATTAGGAATTTGTCAGTAAGGCAGTCATAAAAATATACAACACTGGTAGCATCGTAAGGCTGGGTACCCCAGTTTTCTGCCAAACACATATGTTTATATAACCCTTGGGGGAGAGGGGGGGGGTACAGAAGGTGGCTTTTTTAAAAGAAACAAAGATAATACAAAAGGACAACTTTATTTATTTATCAGTATATTTTCACTTTAGCATCGCTCAGGGACCAGTGATCATCACCTCATTCTTACTGGTTTCCTCCACCTGGAATTTACATTATTTTACCCAAGGCTCACCCTCTGGTATTTCATATAAAGCCTACTATTTGCTACCCTCTATTCTTTTAAAGGATAAGTGCACATTTGGATAGAAATGAACATTACACATGTTGCACCTCACACACAGCTGATTTGATACCTTATATATCAGGATCACGAAAGGTTTCTGACAAAAGAAAACAGATGAAGAGAAACTGTAGAAGAAAGCATGCTTGGTATCACTTTAGCGGAGTTCATCCTTGGTGATCCTTTCGAGTCAGTTGCAAGACAGACTGGTGCCTTCTTTAAAAAAAAAGTCTTTACACAAGGCTCAAAGCTTCCTACATGAGTCTGTACAAATAAGGATATTGAAACCCACGATGACCATTTACACATGACAAGGAAAAGGGAAAATGTAAAAAATAAGTTGCAAACATTCTTAATCTTTCTGGGTATATTAAGGGAGCTAAGTTTTATAAAAGTGCACTTGACTTAAAAGGTTATCGTGCTATCTATGTCCTTGGAGTTGTATGTAGAAAATGCTATACCACATACATAGTCTCACTCTATGGAACTTTATACAGCTTTTAATATAACCCAACCTTGGCAGTTTGCCCATCCTATAGAGCTTTACATAGTGACTGCTATGCACCGTCTCTTGAAGTTTCATGTACAGTTGGCATAATACTATGCCCTTTCAGTCTCCTTGAAATGTATTTATGAAAACTTAAGTCCCACCTGCTGGAGATGTGCAAAGCTCTTTCTTTGCCTATTTGCCACAGATTTTCCTCCAGCTTCTGGAGATTTACGATACTAATATACTCGGCTTCTAGAATTTTACATAGCTATAAACAACCCTCTGCTAGAACTTCAAAAAATTAACTAATAGGTAAGCTAACTGGCACCAAAATAAGTTTATGGGATAAAGCTCTGTTCTGATATGCAGCACCTGAATACAAATTGCACTTAATAAATGTCAATGTTTGCATATTTTCTCTGTTTAAATACCATGGGCAAATCCAAAATTAACTGATAGTATATCTTGGAGAAAGGACACATTACTTTATAAATACTCCAAAAGAAGCCTTGATCATGGACTACTAAACAAGGCTAACATTCTGTATCAATACTGAATTTGGCCAAATGATCCATGTGCTCACTGCATTAACTACATGTCCATTATTATACTTGTAAACATAAGGAGGTATCACTACATACTACCTTTGCATCATTTGCATTTTATATGTATTTGCAATGAATACCAATCAGAATGGACGTATTTGGAAATGCCTTTTTGGATCTACATAGATTAAACTTATAAACATGTATACCTGATTATAAACACATAAACCAAGTTTGAATTTCTAAACTTCACAAAATAAATTACTGACATAAAAGCACAAAATCCAAAATCAAGGGCAGTGTTATTAACGCCATGTATTTGATAACACAACATTCCTTCTTTTCTATTCAAAATAAAACTATATAGTCATTCTGTATATGAGGCTAAAAGAATGCGTTTGCTTTCAAAAATGGTCATGTAAATCCAATGACAGTAGCAATTTATTTACTAAATGGATCAGCATGGATTTGAAATTTGTTAATATTTGGCTCTGAAAATATGTACATATGTACATATATATGTATATAGACACACACATACAAATATATTATATATAGATATACACAGATATATCTATATATATTTACAGACATACAATAGACTTATTCAGATCAAGAGACATAGTTTAAATAACTATAAATAATTTATAGACAATTAACATAGAGCATGAAGGCGCCACGGAACTTGAGAACAGCATAGTAGCAGTTTGCGTGTCTTCGGACTAGCTTAGATTCCTCTTACCCTACAGAGAGCAGTCCTTCTTTATGAAGAAATTTAAATTATTCTGTTTGCACTGCTCGCAGCACAAATAAATCACTATCATCCCTCCCACCCTAACCCCACTTCAGCCTGCCATGAATTTACAAAATGACCCTCTATTCACGCTTTAAGAAAATCCTCCATCAGGCATGGATGGAATTTCATTCTAGTTTTAGGTAGGCTGGAGTTGAGTAGTTGAACATTAAGTAATCCAGTTTGTAGACCTCATACAGTTGAGTTTGGTGCTCTGAGCTGATGTTCTGGAAAAATTCTGCGGTCATTTCATCAGTAGTTTTGGTAGACTTGGCAAAGGTGGGAAATTTCAGATAGTTACCCACTCCTGCCAGTTGCAAGACATAATTAGAATCATCTTCTAAGGTTTCGTATTTTCCTATGAGATCATAATGGATATGACATGGATGGCAGAGAGAAAAGACCGTTTGCCAGTGCTCATTAAAGGGCTCTTCTTTTTGGGTGTGTGGATCAATAAGATAAGCAACAAACTCCTCAAATTTGACATCGCTGCCATTAAGCAGTGCTTCTTGGGTGGCATTTTTCCGCTGCCGCCTTATTATCTTGGTGCCATAGCGTTTGTGGAAAGATGTGTTGTATTTCTGGGTAAATTTATTTCTGTAGGCTGAAACCAACCTCTCAAAAGGTTCACGGACAAACAGGAACTTCATGAAATTTTTTAAGCGATGGTTAATTTCTGGAATGCTATACTGGTTGAGGGTCTTGAGGTTGGAGGAGACATGAGCCACATTTGCCGGTATTTCCATAGGGTCACTGTATTTACCTCTTCCTGTAAGGACCATCATTACCCTCTTCCAGTTGGTACACGCCACTTTTGGCACATAGCAGTAAATCAGTTCATGATATTCATCCACCACCAAGTGTTTCAGGTCATTGGGAGTTAGTACACGCCGTTTCCTGCTTAACACGTTATTGGCCCGACACACGTCTGTGACCTGATCTCGTCTCATCTGGTGCAAAACAGCATTGCTGGAGAGCTCCACCTTTATAAAGAGAACAGAAGCAGGGTTAGATACATATTAAAGGCCAGAATGTAGACATATGATTACAAATAACATTTCTGTCTAGCAAAGCCACATGTCCATTCCATATTTAAAAGCTAAAAAGTATGTGTTTTGTTCAGTGGCAGAACTACTGCAATAGTGACACGGAAATGTTGAAGGGAAAACTTAGCACATCTTCAGCACACACTCAGGACAGTTACAAAATTCCCATGTAACAACCTTAACCAGAAAACTGTATTGAGTGTTGGCATCATCATGTCATCATTCAATTGTCCATGTTACTGGATGTCAATTGTTACAAATCCATGAAAAAAATCCATGAAATACTTTATCGTTCATTCAACCAATATGGAGTCATTTTCATGTCATTTTCATCACCTAGCACAAAAGTTAACTTAGTTGCCTTTGTGAAGTAGAAATTCTTTTTTTTTTTTTTATAGCAGCACTCTAGAATTACAATTATTATTATTTTTTTTAAACTTTAATTCAAGTACAGAGAGGTGCTACAGTAAATGCCTACACAACAAACAGAGTGCTCTCCTCCAAATACCTACTTAGCACAAGACATCCTCCAAGCAAACTTTGTACCTAATTGGCCTCATAACATCACCCAATTTTAGAGCATTAACCAATCACATATTAAAATCAACCTTTTGTCCAGTTGCATTTTTACTGTTAGAGCCTGTGTCAATGACATCAGTTTGACATCAGTTTGAGATGCTTCTGAAATTATTTAGAATTCAGACAGGTGCATTTGACCTGCAGTCAATCTTCTGAACGGCACATTTGACCTGCTTTGAACAGGTCTTGCATTTCCAAAAATTTGTATAGAATTGCAAAACAAAAGCTAACAAAAGGCCATTGACACAGACTCTAGGGCTCCATTTACACCTTAGCGCTTTGTAGCTCAAATCTACACAACGCTCAACATTAAAAATCACATTGTCTTCTATGGTGTCTGTTTACACCTGAGCACTCAAGTGACTGTAGCATAATGCCCATCGCTCCAAAAAGCTTATTTTCACGCAAAAATTTTGAAAAACGTGTGTTTACATGCGTTTTTAGTGGCTTCTATTTAGGATGGGGCCAACAACAGTAAATTCTGCTTATGCTACAAGTAATGCATAAAACACTTATAAAAGCCTGTATATAGCTTATATATGCTCTTCCTCAGGCATTTTAATGCATTTTAAAGTAATGCAAGAATAAATGTGTGAAACTTGAATTTATACTACGTTGCACAGCACAAATCAGAGTGGGAGGTTGTGCAGCATGAGCCAATCAGGACATTGCTTTGGGCAAAGCAAATTAAAGCAAATAAAACATGTTCAGATACTGCAGGCAGGAGAGATAGACTATATACATCCAACAAGAGGAGGGGCGTACAAATAAGGAGGAACTCTGCAGTCAAATGATGGACATATAATGTCCAACAATAGTCTCTGCTACCATTCCAGAATTACAGGAAGCTTAAAGGAAGAGTTCAGCAGCATGAATTTTCTTAATAAAAGCTTCCTTAAAAATAAAATGGTTAAATAACATTGCAGCAGAGTTAGATGTAAAACTATTATATGTTCTGCTAGCACTGAGAACAGTATGCCCCCATTGTGTGTCATGTGTATTTTTAAGGCTGGGCACGACAGGTGGTTCCAGATTTCTAGCCTTGCAGTCTAATTGACATCCATCAACCTCTCAGCCTCGATATTTTTAAACGTTGAAATTGTTACCCACAGGTAAATCTCCGTAATAAGCCTCTGGGTCTTTTCTTCTGGCTATTTGGACACAGTGGGGTGAGGTAAACTCAGTACTCTTGTCTACTTCTCTCACAGGAAAAATGGACACATATAACAGCAACATTCAATTAAGAATTCTCTTCTGCTCCAGCTGCTTAATTCAAATTACAAAGGATGGTGTAACAAATATTATATTGAATCCCATTAATAAATGAAGTAGATATTGGCATAAAGCTAATGAGTTATAATGTGAAAAAGGAATATAGGCTCTGCAATGCACATTACATTATTTATAATAATACATAATTTACAATATTTACATTATGGGTCTTCTGTATTATTTTTGGATATTGGATTATGGACCCTAGATATTGCCGTTTGGACACTAGATTATATGCTCTCTAGATTTTGTACTGTAAATTATGAGCTCTCTGCATTGTACTTTGAATACTTATGTACAGTCATATTAGATATACAAAGTCCAAATCCCATTTGCACTGCCACGGTCTCACAACCACAAGGTATATGTGGTGCCCAGGTGACCACACGGATGGCGCCGTGCAAAACACCAACAGCAAACAAAAGTAATTCACCGGCACACACCCGAAGGGTTTTTAAAGTATTGATATGTTTATTCAATACCCAATGTCACATACTGTCATATGGTATCACACCGTATGACAGTATGTGACATTGGGTATTGAATAAACATATCAATACTTTAAAAACCCTTCGGGTGTGTGCTGGTGAATTACTTTTGTTTGATATTAGATATACAGGTGAAACTCGAATAATTAGAATATCGTGCAAAGTTCATTTATTTCACTAATGCAACTTAAAAGGTGAAACAAGGTTCCATTTATATATATATATATATAAATATATATATATATATATATATATATATATACACACACATACTGTATGTTGACGTACCGTGGGCATTACTACAATGGACGGCAATGCACCATACGAGTGTTAGTGCATTGTGATGCTATTCATTTTGAATGCCACCTCAACGCGCTAAAGTAACATGTGGTAATGGTGTTACAAAAATAGTGCATGTCTGATTTTGGTGTGTTAGTCCAAATGAATGGAATGCCTTTAATATTGCAATATTACACACAGCGAGGTACACAAATATCAAAAAATGCAGCACTCTAGTGTGACCACCCCTGGAGCACATCAGAGTTACACAAAAATAAATAAAGCCTGGCATCCACTGGTTCCCTACTGACATGAAGTATTGTGTTCTGCAGCACGGAAAACACACATTCTAGGGATGCTGAAATTTACATAACACCCTCTCCCCAGTGAGCAGTCATGGCTGATTTGCTGACAACTAATTATTCTGGTTGTTGGGTATGCCAGGAAAACTTATTTGAATAATGAGGACAGAGGCAGTTCTTCACAGGCACAAAACATTTTACTACAGTATATTTGCACATTTTTATAGCAGGCCATGCAAATGTAGGACATGTGTTTGGCTGTGTCTGGAGTTTTTTTTTGTTTTTTTGGAGATAACTGAATGTGCATGGGAATAAATTACATTGTTTTCCTCTACAGACCGACATTTACATTTTTTTACGTGAACAAATAAATCAAAATATTTAGTAAAATGATGACTTTCCAAGCACACAGTCATTTATATCTATACCTTATTGGAAAAAGCCATAAGTATAATGAATGGCACATGCTTAAATCAATAGCCCTAGAAAAAAAAAACGACACTGATCCAACAGTCTATTATATAAAAAGAAAAAAAAGGCATTATTGTTATTATGCCATTCTACTTTGGCTCATTTCTGAAGCAGTGGCATAAATCAGTATTTTAATTAAAGGGGTTGTCACACTGAAATATGGAAGTCACGAAGAAAGCTGTCTGTCTTGCAAGTATTTGTCGTACATACTGGTAGAGGTCAAATATATCGCTCAAGCAACTCACTTTGAACTTGAAAGTCAGCCAGGGCTACGCTGAAAATGTGCCAGACATGAGACATCTTAGAGGTACTAGATGCAGCATAGAGATGAGAGCGTTTCACATTTAGACTTTGCAGCTCACATGGAGAACAAGCTCCGATGAAACATATACATCATCCAGAAGAGTTCTGGCACATTTGGAATTCAGACTAACTATATTAGGCTAACAACCCATCAGAGTGTGTCTTTGCTAGGTTTTTCATTTAGTGCCCTTCTCATTTACCTGTTTGATCATTTAAAATAAATGTTTTAAAGGGAATGTATTGTCCTATCATTTTTTTAAGATGAAAGAGACCAGCTTGATTTAAGTTATTGTCTTAAGTCTTAAAATCCTTTTTTTTATGTGTATTTTGCAAGATATGTGTGGACACTGGGGCTGCCATTATAACTCATTACATATCAGGGATCCCAACCTGAAAAAAAGTAATTTCAGGGAGGTGCCCTTCTCATTTCAGGGATGTGCCCTCTCCACCCCCCTGAAATGATGGTAAATAGCAAAGAAGCTACTATTGCTTCCCGTGCTATCTGCTGGGTTTTTTTTTTTTAGTATTTTGACAGCTGCTGCCGTCAGAATAAAAAATAGCTAGATTGCTATTGGCTATTTCAATTTGCAATAGCCAATAGCAAGCTGGCTATTGCACCCGCCCTCTGCTGCTGTCAATCAGCAGAGGAGGACCTGATGGAGAGCTTCAGGTCCACCTCTGCTGATTAACAGCAGCAGTGGGCGGGTGCAATAGCTAGTCTGCTATTGGCTATTACAATTTGAAATAGCCAATAGGAGCCTAGCTACTTATTCCTATCCTATGCTGTGTTTTTTTTTCTCTGACTGAAGTTGGCCCCGAAGTCAGTAAAAAACAAAACAAACAGATATCAAGGAAAGGTCTACTCTGCTAGATAGAGCAGAGTAAACCTTTACGGGAGAAAATGTTTCTCCGGGAGCCGCTATTTAATAGCGGGACACTCCCAGAACGTCCAGGATAGTTGAGATGTCTGACATATGCAGGTTCTGCTTTGCAGTGCTACACAGTGGTTTTGCTTTACTGCTCATTCTCACAATTAATGTCTATGCATCAGCTGTCTCACTGAAAACAATGTACTTCCTGTGGATGATATCTTATCTTAATCCTGGGTAAAGGGTACCCTGTCAGGGTAAAATAAATCCTAAAGAAAGGTACCCTGTGATAAAAAAAAGTTCTTATAACCAATCCATCTCTCCGGCAGCTCATGCTTGCAATGTCTGCTTCGTT